TGGAGGGAGAGATTTCGTACGTCGTGACTGAGTGAGTGAGTGAGTTGGTGCGTGTGCGTGCTACCGCGCGTATACGCTCTCTCTCATTCTTGGGATCGTTCGCGTGTGTGTTGTGTATGTATGTGTATATATATATATATATATATATATATTGTCGCGCGCGCGCATTAACGGAATTCACGATCAGCACGCAGGGACTCTCAACAAATGTTTAAATGGACGCATCGTCCATTATCACCCAAGTGTCGCGGGATGACGAGCTAGGCCAATTTAATAATGGGAAAGGTAGGTGTTTGCTGTGAATATAGGCTTGCCGCCTTACATTTTTTTTTTTTTACGTTTTTCTTCCAGATGCTGGATGGAATCTGCACCTGTTACGGGACTGCACCTCGCTCCTCACCTTACCTCACCTAACTTCTCACCTCTCACCCCTCTACTCCTCCCTTCCACTGCTATTCGCCTATACTTCACTTCCGACGTCTCTTTTCCTCTCGCCCTCGTTTTTGCCTGGCCTCGCCTCGTTTTGCCTCGCCTCGCCTCTTCACAAATCGTGTCTCCTATCCTTCTCCCCCTCTTTTTCTTTCACCTAAGTTTCGCGTGTAACTTATTGCATCGTGTCGTACCCATACCTTGCCGCCGTTTTAATTCACTTAATCCGATTCGTGTACTCGATACTCAAATATTGCTTGGACGAAGCCAAACAATGTTTAAATTAAGATAAAATAAAAATGTTCCTCTCCCATTTCTTAAAACTGTCAAAATATATGCTTATAGAAATATTCTACTATCCTAAAAATGGTAATTTCTAGTAATTCATCCCTTTGTACATTAAGCAGAAAATAACGTTCCATTAATTATAAGAGCAAATTTTACGTTTTATCTTCCATATATTTTTGTATAAATATATCTCTATTTTGGCTCAAATTTTAACAATTTTGATCACTTTTTAATGTATATATCATATACATATTTACATATGTGTATTTACAAGATGATATTTATTTTTTCCAAATGTAGCTCAGTTACCACAAGAGAATGAAGTGAACAGCACCGGTTCAGCCAGTGGCAAAAAGCCAAGAGGGCGTGGGCTTCTGCGATCTCTACTTTGTTGCCTCGGTAGAGGACGTGGAAGTAGTTCTAAAAGTTCAAAGACAAGCTCGTTACAAGGCGATGGACATGGTTCTCCATCCCTAAGGACTGGATCCCCAAGGTTCCTTCTCCCACCTGTCAGACATCAGGATATGCACAAGAAGTGCATGGTGATTGATTTGGATGAAACACTAGTGCATAGTTCTTTCAAACCAATCAACAATGCCGATTTTGTTGTTCCTGTAGAGATTGATGGGACAGTGCATCAAGTGTATGTTTTAAAGAGGCCTTATGTGGATGAATTCTTACAGAGAATGGGTGAACTGTACGAGTGTGTATTGTTCACAGCAAGTTTGGCTAAGGTATATTATGCAAACAGTTGTTTATTATTACCATGGGCTTCATATTTAGATTTGTTTGAACATTCGATATTTCTGATATTTACAGTATGCTGATCCAGTAGCGGATCTGCTTGACAGATGGGGAGTGTTTAGAGCAAGACTGTTTAGAGAATCTTGTGTTTATCACAGAGGAAATTATGTTAAAGATTTAAATAAACTAGGGCGGGATTTACAGCAAATTATTATTGTTGATAATAGCCCCGCCAGTTACATTTTCCATCCAGATAATGCAGTAAGTTTTACCAATGAAAAATATACAAAAAAGAAGAAAATAATTAAAGAAATAAAATAAATTCATTTTTAGGTACCAGTGGCATCATGGTTTGATGATATGACAGATTCAGAACTATTAGATCTAATTCCATTTTTCGAGAAGCTCAGTAATGTGGAAAATATTTATACAGTCTTGTGCAATAGTAATCATCCTTATAATCAAGTACCTCCAGCTGTACAAAATAGTCCAAGCCCAGGGTCAGGTTCACTTGGTGCTTCCTAGCCCTACCTAAATTCTGGCCAAGTAGCCAGTATTATCATCGCTCAATGCACTCTGAGGAGAACTTTGATTGGAATATTCCACATTGCTTGCTTGTTATGTAGCAATGGACAACCAGGTATGACCCACTAAGTGTTGGGTGTATAATGTAAGCATACCTATCAAAGAGTCATCCAAAAGGAGGTGAAAATTCTAAACCCTCCTGTATTCATTTTGACACAACATGAATCACAACTGCTTTATCATTGGCTTCAGTTCTTTTTCCTAAGAAATAATAATATGATATAACTGCTCACAGTATATCAGGTACAATGAACTGATCGTATTTATCTAATTATTAAGGTATTTGACGAAAGATTAAAAAGTAGCTCAATTGGTCATAAACAAATAACTCTTCCAATCACATTGACATGGAATAGATTTCGAATACAACTTATTGGTTGCATAATGAATTAATGCGAGTTTCCGTGTTTGATGTACTTGAGAAAAGGAGCAAATGATAATGATAACAATGAATGTAAAAAGTGAATATGCATTTGAAATCGAATAAGTACATGTACGTGATTTAAATTCATGCAGAGTATATACAAAATTATTTGCACGAGAGAATAAATCAAAGTGTAGTATTAAGTAACACTGAGAGAAAAAAAAATAGATTACTTAAGAGTCTTTTGATGGGCCGTTATAATTTTTCCCTCTGTATATTCCGATTATTTACCGTAGTTTTGCATTGCTTTTAACCATGTTATGTGTGAAACTTCAATAAGTATTTCTTATATAATCATAAATATTGTGCAAAGAAATAATTAATTTTTATACAAATTTTATGAGGCTGATAATTCCAAATAGTTACGAAAAATGAAATTAAATCATGAAATTTTCTTACCTTTATAATTAGAATTTGTTAGAATTCATTGAAAATTTGTGTGTTTGATTTTGCTTGATCAAACATATATTTTATAAATGAGGTTGAGATATAAATCGGAAATTTGGGAAAATGATGCAAATATAAAAAAAATGATGTTTTAATAATTGGGTTGAATGAAAAGTACAGAGAAAGAAAGAATATATGTTGTTTTTATTATTTTCATGCTATTTTAATTTCATTCCAAAGAATAATTAAAAAAAACAATGCAATGGGAATTGTATAAGATAAAAAATCAATATATATTTGAAACATTAGGTCAATGCATATCATTCTTTCCCTCCAGGCAGTTATATGAATAATGGAACATTATGTTAATCATTACAATATCATTAACAAATTAAAATCATTTAGATGTAGTCCATAAAGGATGAATAAGTAAACAAATGTATATTTACACATGTAAATATATTTACTAACAGATAGTCGTCAATTTTGTACGCTTAATTCGTGCGTAAGAAATGTATAGCTAGCGTTATACTTTCATATCCAATCAAACTGTCGTTACTTATACTTTTTTATTTTATTCGTATTGTTGCTAATATATTTGTCAGTATGAATGATGCAGTAAATCAAATTTTATTGTACTGCCGTCATTAACTTAATTTCAAATATCAGACTACTAAGGATACTATACGTCGGTCGCATTATTGAATTTTTGGGAAAAAATTTTTGCAGAGGAGAACAGGCAGTCAACTAGATACAGTTTTATAATGCCTGTTAAATAATCTTCTAATCATACATGTTACTCACGTCTTAACGTTCATCCTATTCAATATTGATGTATTTTTATTATCTATTTTACATAACATAACACAAAAATCTGAAAATTAACTTATTGTCTTTCTTCTGAAATTTTAATGTTTTTAAAATTTAAAAATAAAGAAGATACGACATTAATAAATAGAAACCAAATTTTTAATCCATCTTTTATTAAAACGAATTAATTGTAAAGAAATTTTATAAATTTTAGAATAAATCGTTGTTATTTTTAAGTAATCATTCAATAAAGTTTAACAATATTATATATAGTTTGGAGGTAGTTTTCTTTAATTTTAGTCTATATATTATTATTATCTGATATTACGTCGCTATTTATCATTGAAAAAAAGTAAGCCATCAGTGTTGTAGGTTTTTATTTCATTAAAAAAGGGCTAGGGTATACAGAGATAAGAATATTATACAACAAGTTATACATATTGCATAATATTAAATGGCTTCCAACTATATATTTTATCAGTTTTTTGTTTTATATGGCAGTGTTTTAAACGGATCAGTATCATTCACAAGTAGATCTTACTTTTAACCCAACTGGTATAACAGTGCATAGTGTACTAAAAATCCGAATAAGCAAGAACTAAGAAATCGATTTTCATAGCTATAATATTTTTATGTAAAAATCATATTAATACTATTTAATCCAAAATACGCGAACTTACTTCTCAGCATTGTATATAAATGTTGAATGTTTATATCTAAACCTTAACTTGTTAGCCGTATTTTTATGTTCATTATTACTCGTATTTAAGAAGTAACAGCATGCTATGGAACATTTGTACTTATTGTTAGTAAACGTACCTCGCCTTCTTCTGATTTAACTGTTTTCAAAATATAGAATTATGCAATAACCATATATCTTTACTTCAATCATGATTTATGTGTGTATGCTTTTCACAAACTCGACGAATTCATTAAAAGAAAAAGAAATCGAAAGTTATACAAAACGTTCGTTAGCTCTTAAAATTTCTCGAAAACGCAATCGACTTGAGAGATTACATAAGTAACGATATTTACCGTGCACTTTTACAGAAGTATGTCAATAAGTGTGATTGTTTCCACTCGTACAGTGCCCATCGAAATGACTCTACTAATTATAGTGCACCTTTTCGGGAAGTGCATACAAAAAACACGGAGAATATGCCACCCACACAAGGAAATTTTATATGTATATTCCAAATTGAACACAATGTCTTTTATAATGTTCTCGTGTACTGTCTGAAAGCAGTCATAAATTTAAGATACGATATATAAGCGATTACAACGCGACATATACAGTCATGTGGCAAAATCCTAAGAAACAGAAAATATTTCTAAATTCTACGGTCTTCTCTTTTTTTTTTTTTACCATTATTATTTATTATTATTTCGTTCTCTTTTAATCTCAGAAATCTTTCATCCCTAATGATTTTTATCATAATCAAATTCAAGTACAGAAACTATCATCGTAATGTAAAGCTTCATCGGTTTGATGGAAGATCGGGAGGATGTGTGAAGAAGCAAGGTTAATGTTGCATCCGACGAAGACCACGTTCGTTATCGGATTTAACATTAAACACACGAAATATCATACATCAAACATCCTTAAGCATCCATCATGTCGTGCTTCCGTGATTAATTAATATTAACAATCTAGTATATTGCTTTTATGGAATGTAAACCCGTTGGATGCTCTAGACGAGTATCCATAGTATTTCATAATATAATAAGTGCGTATCTTTTGTCGTGTTTCGTTTTTCCAAGCATTTTGTTTTGTTTTCTTTTTTAATTATTATTATTATGACTATTATTATTATAATTATAATTATTATTATTATTATTATTATTATTATTATGGAGTTGTAACATGATTGTAGAGACGCTATAAAATAACATTGAGGATGATGGCTTTCGTCTGCTACCAGTTGAGCGACAGAGAGAGAGAAAGAGGGAGAGAAAGAATACAGTACATTTAGATTTATTATAAAAGCAAAAAAAAAAATGCGCCGAGAAAACTGTTAGCGCGAGAAAGGTGTAGCGAAAACGATCGTGATACGTAATTAGATATATATATATATATATATATATATATAAATATTTAGGTAGACCAATTAATTTTTAATGCGCGATACTTTCGTACAGCGACGCAACGGTGTCTTCGAATTCGTAGCTCTTCGCCGCTGTAATCTGACATATATACATATACATACATATATATATATATGTACAACGCATACATACATGAAAGTACAAGAGCTGTTACTCTTATTCACAAACAGGGAGCGTACAAGTGATATATTTTTGATTAAATTCAATTGTACAATATCATTCGCTTGTATGATTACGTTTACGATACCGTTAAATACTGAGCTATATCTTGAATTTGTTAAGAGCCCACTATTATACGTACCAGTGATTTTATTAAAATTAATTATAAATTTATCTATACCTGTATATGTGTAATGTTCGTTGCTATGAAGTGTAGGTTTACTTAGCGATCTATGATAGAAACGATGGAATTTTAAAAGAAAATGTGAGGGGAAAGGATAAGTAGAACGAATTCTGTGTCGTTACTTTTATTGGCGCGTTTGTCATTGCATTAATTTCGAATGATTATTGTTATCGGCTAGATTCGCTCCGAAATAAAGCGACTATTTGGTAACGATATATCGTGTTGCAATACAGCAATAACGAACCGCTAACATTTTTCTCAGTGCCGAAAAAACATCGTTACTTCGCAGCAGCTTTGCTGTAGTACGAAAGAAGCAAATATAATAAGAGGATTTAATTTTGAAAGAGAGGAAAAAGAGAACGCGTGTGTGCATGTGTGTGTATGAGCGCGCGCGCGCGCGCACGTGCGTCTGTGTGTGTGTAACATGGAGAGTATAATTTAAAAAAGAAATTTTTTAAATGAAATAAAAATAATAGAAAGAGAAATAACAGAAATGGTAAAAACCGTTCGCCGGGCGACGGGCGCAAAGTCGAAACTGAAATTTTTTATATGTAATCAGTTTAAATGAATGTGAATGGCGAAGAGGCGAAATAAAGGAAAAAGCTCGAGACTCCAGTCGTGTTGCCCTGTTACATCCTGAACGATTGCTAAATTATTGTATCATTATTATACATACATTGTACAAAAAAGTGAAACAATTCGTCACAAATGGAATGAAATTACATACTATACTAGGGTTCATAATATCTCGTCGGTAAAATGTGTGAACGTGTCCGCGTGAGATAAAAAAGAAAATGAAAAAAAGATACTAAAAACAGAATGAGAGATGCGAGTATGCATGTGTAAAAAAAAAAACAAACGTAATTAACGATATTGCCTTGATTTGTAAATAAAATTTAATTACTTCCACTAATGAAATCTTCTCTGCGGATACCGAGCGGGCCGCGATCAGTCCACGCGGGCTCACCATCTTCGATTTCGTATGTTTTTTACTAAAAAGCCGCAATTGATTTTTTAACAGCGAGTATATTTTGTACAGTAACGGAACATCAAATATATATATAAATACACATACACACACATATATATATACATTATATATATGTATTTTTTAAAAAACGTGGAGGTGAGCCCTGTGCATCGTACCAGAAGAATCAGCTAGATTATGTAAATCTCCCATCCCTCCGACATGTCCAGTTTGCTCTGTGATTCTGTGTTTAATAAAAAAAAGCAAAGAAAAATATATATATATATTATGTATATGTATATATGTATATGTACATATACGCGTTTGATAAACGAGTTCAAGTAGTTTTTGCATGATCCCCGTATGAAAGTGTCCCCCATTTACTGATTGTTGTACATTATATAGGTACTTTAGAACAATTTTTACATTCACATATTCATTTGTAATAGTAAACGTTATTAGATTCTTGGAAGGAAAATTGTATTATGGTTTTCAGTCTTATAAAGAGGTATGGTAAATTTTCATCGTTGGTTTTAATTATGTCGTTAATATGATGGCAGAATTAAGTCCACAAGAAGATTATACTATTTAGCAAATTTATCATAACACAAGGTAGAGCGACATTTAATAATTTTTAATGTATATTATGATATTTCGTAGTTTAATATTATAAAAAGAATTTCATTACATGAAATTAGATTGTACGAAAGAGTGTTAGAACAGGACTGTGTTCGAAATACTATTCTTTACGTTTGCGTATGTACCATATGCACCTCTATATTGGTTTAAATGACACCACAGTATTTAGGTCAACCTGCTCGATCGCACACGATTAATTTTGATATTGAATTTTCGCGAATGGCAATTACCTTACTATAAAGGTAAATATCATGACTGACGTACATATGTTATTAGTTTCCGGTAAACCGCCTGTCAGTGGTTAGAGCATATACCATACATGGTACTATACATGATAATATGTAGGTAGTGTTAAAACGATTGACATTCTGTCAGAAAAGGACCCTAAATTATAGGTAACTTCACTGATACTAAATTAAACAAAGTCAAGGGATATCTATAATATTTTGTAAACGTAATTTAAGTTGTATTTGGTGTGTATGTTTTCTTTAGATAAAACAGGTAGACTTGCACTCTGACAAATGTATAGTTTTTATGCTTTTATATTAGATTATTTGGAAAATTTTCAAACGGATCAGATGATTGAAGTACCTAAAATCAAATCTATATTCATTTTGAGTTGTTAATTATATTTTCATTAGAATAGAATTTTTATTTAGCGTATTTATTTCAAATCGTAGCAATTGTTCGCAAATGTTTGAAGATCGATTATTTTTTTACAAAATAATGACATTAAGATACATTTAATAAATATATCCTAAGGTTAATTACTAAATTTTGTATAATTTTATTTATGTATTAGAAAAAATAATTTCATCGTAAATAAGATCATTAACTAAATACAGAGTAGATCTGACATCTGACATTATGTACATATATAGAACTGGAAATGTCTCACGTTCTGAAATACCGACCTCGACAAAATTAGAATTTTTCACGCCCCCTGCGATTTGTTTCGGCGAATACAGAAATTACAACCATTGACTTAATCTGTGATGTGAATCACGTCTATTCTGTACATCACAGATAAGTAGATCTATGTATTTATATTTACTGTTGCAATTCGGCACAATGCACGCACGAGGCACCCTTATCATACATTTTTTTCGCAATCACAGTCACGATCATATATATGCTTTTGTTTTCTCTCTACTCTCTACTCATTTCTCCTTTCTATTCGAATCAGGTTCAATTCGAATGTGTGGCAAGTGGGTGACCTAGCGATAGCTTTTGTCATCCGTCCCAAAGCGGCGTAGTGGTCGCTAGACGCGCATGTTTGTTGAGAAATTTTGTGGTAGCGCTATGCGATTAATACACATCAAAACACCATCAAATGATAACATCTCCCACCACCAAAAATTGAACGAGTTGCCGGATCTGTGTATACTAGCGCTAGTACCTCATCTATGACTATACGAACGATAATGTGATAAAGGTGCCCTAAAGGTAAAGAAACTTGCGACATAAAAATGCAGTGAGTGTTAGGTCTATCATGTATCTCGTTTGTACTACAATTTCAATATAAAAAATAATTATACAATATAGAAAATAATATTTAACATTCTCAACTTCTAATGATTTAAACATATGTAACAAAATTATATTTGGCAAAAGTAGAGAAATATAGTACATATTAAATGAACATATACATATATGTATGCAAATAAAATGTATCTTTATGTTTATACTTAATTTATTGTTAATGCAAGATGATATTCGCTATTCATTAACAAACAAAAATTTAATTTCTAACGCGAAAATTATACAAATCTGTGACTTAATCTTGTACCTAAAATGAGTTTTATATCCTTAACCTTAAATTTAAATTTGAGGCTATTAGAAGAAAAATAGGACATTAAACATAAATAAATGAATTATGATTCAGAATAAAATTTAACCAAAGAAGAACATTTTTAATGATTTTATATAAATATTATATAAAAATTTCATTTATTTGCTTTTATAAATATGATACAATCCAAACTAAATGACAATCAAATTATTGTGTTTATTAATAATTTTTTTCTGTGAAGACAACATGAATAATTTAACAGACGCACATTGGTTTCCCTTAACATCACAGGGAAATATTTATTCAATGACCAAATTGTGTTCTGTCAATGGTTCCAATAAGGTATTAGTGGCTTCTTTGAAAAGAAAAATATATTCTTGTGAATACCATTTGATGCCAAATCTACATTTAAGACCACTGGTTAAAGAACTACTTTTTACATACATTCCCAGTTTGTAATCTTAAATATTAACACTTTATCCAAAAACAATAGTTTTCTATATCTGATTAAAAGTTCCTATTTATTAGGTGGTGCAGAAATCATATCTATTGATGCTTATAATAAGTCTGACAGCGGTGATGGATTTGTGATAGGAATAACTATTTTGAAAGCAAGTACAGATACATCTGTAGAAAGATATCTAAATATATATACAGAAGGTGCCATAGATGGCGAAGGAGATGAAGGAAGTTCCATTGAAGCTATAGCACAAAATTGTCTTATGGTGGAATTAGCATATACACCGTACCATTTATATCATACTATATTACCCCAACAAAATGTTCCTAATGAGGTAATTTTTTATATTAGTAATGATCTTTTAATTATACTTAAACAAATGGAATTTAAGCAAATGATATTTTATGAATTTATAGCAGAATTATAACTTTTCCTAAGATTTTAGGTTGTTTGGTTACTCTCTGGCAGTGATTATAAAATACATATGATCAGAGAAGATAAATTAAATCACAGTTACAGCGAATCACCTATTGAAAAGTACTTTCCTGAATTGCATGATATCCAAGGAATTGCAATATGGATTAATATTTACTATTATGATAATTACAATTGGTATGATATATGTGAAACGAATCTTTATGCATTACATTATAATAACTAATAATACTCAGCTAACTATATATATAATATATATATAGTTATAATAACTAATAATTTAATTTGTTTAGGAGACTGACAGTAATTGGTTGTGAGTGTGGATTGGTCAATGTAGCTATAACTAATGTTTTAGAATTAAAAGTTTGCCGAAGTTGGAAATTAAGATATGACAGACCTGTTTCCAATGTATCCACTTTTTCACTTCAAAATAGTATTGAGAAACCTTCTTTTCTTAGCTCTAATAGTAAAATTCATTATTAATTCAATATTAATATCTGTATATCCTAAAAAATCTTGATTAGAAATCAAAATTAATGTATATTTTCAATTTGTTGTAGACTCTAAATCTTTCCTAAATGATCAAAAAACAAAACTAAATGTTCTTGTTGTGAATACAAGTAATGCAGTTGTCTTTATGTAAGTTAATTTTGTTTTATATATGTATAGTAAAAAATAATTCCATATTTTTTATAACTAGGGATGTTCTAAATAATGGGATGGATGAAGACATAACATTAAATGGTAGTGAAACATCTGATTGCATTTTATGTTCTTGTATTGCTGACATAAATATGGATGGGCAAAATGAGATACTTTTAGGAACCTATGGTCAAGAAGTTCTTATTTTTTGTTTCATAAATAACTCATGGGAATTGATCATAAGAAAATTATTTGATGCACCTGTACATTCTATATGTTATATGGATATCACCAATGATGGAATGAAAGAACTTATTGTCCTTACACAACGCGGAGTGCATATATTACAGGTTATAATTTGTATTTAATTAATCAATTATAATATTAATATATGACAAAAGTTTCAAAAATTTAAAGTAGACATATAAATTGCAGCATAATATTATGGATGTCAAAGATAAGTGGAAAAGGCGATATAAAAAATTTCTTGAAGAAAATAGAATATAGCTTAATTTTCAAATTGCCATATAGAAAGACTTGAATTGAGGTTTAGTCTTCAGGGATTGAGAAGAGAGTACAAGAAATTACAAAATATAAATACACACGTTTCATATTATTGATATTATGTATATACATATGTGTATACACACACAAATGGATACATATAATACCAAAAAGAATAAAAGGAAATTTATTTTTATTATTACTATAATTGTAAAGTTGAATAATTTTAATAAATATAGTCAAAGAATAAAATATTATTGTTTATTTCTAAATTAAGAAAGATTATTTACTTTTCAAATATAGCAAATCTATATCAGTAGATGACTCTAAATTATAAATTTTGCAGATTTTGTTTTAAAAATGAAATGATATTTTCATATAAACTAGTCAACTCACGTATTAACAGTCAAACGAATGCGCAATTTCACTGGTTCTTAAACCAACATGTTTCACGATGCATCGTATCTAGACTTCGCAGAATCAGTGACATAACAGACAGTTCAAAATAGTGTGGCACGTGCTTGAAGTGGAAATTGTCATACGTGTATCTTTTATGTTGTACCCACGCTTCTAACACTGATGATCGATATATTACATTACGTCTTGTTGAATATTTCGAAAGAATTTAACAGCGTATTTCATTCTTTTTCTTACGTGAATTAGAATGACTAGTAAAAAAGGACACACCCTCCGAATTGAATCAGAAATCGATAAAAACCGTGAGGACGGAAATTGGAAAAAGGTTATAGAATTGGCGGAACACCTGAAAGTACAGTACCCTAGTAATGGTAAATGTTTCTTTTTCTCGTAATGTTTTAAATAATCAGATTTACATGTTCAAAAATTTTTTTTTGATAAAAGATTTGATAAAATTTTATAGTAATTAACTGTCACGTCACGAGTTTCGTAACCTGTTTATGTAAAAAGAAGTTGTTAAGTCATTTCACGAATTATAAGGATTACATGTATTATCAATCAAACATAATTGTAGTAAAATGTCATTTGATATAAATCTTCTTAATTCAACACTTTTTTAAATTTAAATTTATCTGTTTGTTAATAAGTATATCTGATTTTAACAAATACTGATAATTGTCAATAAGAATATTTTTTATGCCTTCTTAGAAATTTATTTTTGACTTCGAAAAAATAATATATCTTTCTTATGAATTTTGTATTATTGAAATCTTAAATGAGGAAAATTGTATACAATTTTATTTAAGTTAATGTATTAAAAAATGAACATTTATATCTATATTTAATAAACATTTCATATTTCTGAATATTTTAATACCGTTAAGAAAATTTAATTTCATACTAAAATATATAAGATAAAAATATATATCCAAAATTATGTATTCATGGTGCTTTTGATTGTAGAATGTTTAGCAAATTTTTTATGTGGGGAAGGAAGATTAGAAAGCTTTTTAGAACAAACTCCACCTATAGATGCCAACATTGGAAAAGCTAGAAATGGACTACAAGAAACTAGAAAATACTTGATCCTTGCAGCAAATGAAAAAGATAAACAAGTAATTAAAATCATAATTAACAGTTTTTAATTGAATAAAAGATAAAAATTTATGAATCTGGTAATTTTAACTTTGTATGAATAATTAATAAATAATATTTTTAATTATAGGCTTTGGTTGTATTGGATGCACATTTACTACTTGGTAAATTGCATTATGCAATGGGGATGTATGAAGAAGCTCTTAAACATTATCAACAAGCTGAATTACACACACTTACAGAAAAACCATTACCTTGTAGAAGCCTACGTATTATTGCAGAATCATATGCAATTAAAGGTTTGCATCAGATATTATTTAAATCATTTAGTACGTTGCTAGTATGTACTAGTGCATTATTATTTCTAATACCACACATAATAGCTTGCCAGTTGAATAAAGGAATGATTTATATCTATCATAGTTTGGTGTCTTATATATTTCACTTAACAAATTTCTTTTTTAATAATTCTGTACTTTAGAACATTAAATATATGCTGAATTTGATAGTATTGCACTTAATGTAATTATTCTAACAAAATTTAAAGAATTGCATATTTTTTTCTTATTTGTAATCTCTACTAAGTATAAATCATCTTGTACATCAGCCTGAAGGTAATACCTAATCAAAATTTAGTTACACAAGCAATGATTTTTGAAAATATTTGCTGTATTTTGAATACTAATGTACAACTTAGAGAAAGAAAGACTGTTTACTTTAGACACAGAGAAACATTTATCCTGCCGAAGACTGCGCATTATTGCTGAGTCGTACGCAATTAAAGGTTTGTATTTTGCTTCATTTTTATTTTTTTTATTTGCCATGTGTAAGTGTATTCCATTTTTTAATTTTTGTTTGACTATCCGTTAAAGTGTTATTGTATGCTTTATCATTATACAAAACATTTTTATTAATATAATAATCCAAATCAAAAATATTTTCATTAACTTTTAAAGGTTTGAAATATATGTTGCCTTGTCAATATCATTTTCATGCTTAATTTTATTACTTTCAATAATCTAAAAAAGGGAAGATGTTCTATTCATGGTAACTATGTTTCCTTACTTCTGTTTAAATTAATGTTTACTTGCATCTTATCAATATTGACAACTGCTGCATGATAAATGTATACTGTTTGAAAACATTCATTTTTTCTGTTTGTCTGTTAGACATCCTCTTATAATATTTATTTTAATTAGTAGTCATTTTATAACATATAAAAAGACTCTTTGCATGTTTTATCGATGATAACTACTACATTTCAGTTGAAACAAAAAATTAATAGTTTATACCTACTGTGCTGATGTCTTATGCAAAATGAAAATAAAGCTAATATACCTTCTGTAGATAATTTGATTGTTATGTTTGTATATCATAAACTTTATCAATGCATATAAATAACTGTAAGTGTATTGCATAAAATTTTATGAAATAAATCTGCTTAAAACAGTGCTTCTTTTTTGCTGCTTCTCTTATTCTCTGTGAATATAATATTTGTGTATTTAAAAATATGTACCTTAATATTAAAAATTATTGTTCTATTATATTCATACCAATCCTTAGACAATAGATCCTTTTAATAGATGTTTTTATTTACAACAGGTCTTTGTTTGGAAAAGTTACCACCAAATTCTAAATCAAAATATAAAATAGCAGAATGGCAAGAACAAATCATCAAATGTTATGAAATTACTGGGGACCTGACATTGGTGTATTTACAAGAACAAGAAAAACTTGCAATGCAACATCAAAATGGCACGTCTACCGTAAATAGTAACAATGCAGGTGATGATTCTTTTCAGCACATTCTTTTCCATCAGACAATGCTAATTGATGCTTACTGTTCCATAATTAATGAATGTATGAATAATATTTTGATTGGTAGTCGGGATATTCACTGAATGAAAAACAGTAGTAGCAAATAAACTTATTTTATTATTATTAAAATAAACATATTTTATAAGAATGTTGCATTAACTATGTTTATTTACATTTTTTCAGGTGATATTATAGGGTTGTTGGTGGAATGTGACAAAACTTGAAATTTGGGTTTTGTAGTTAATACCTTAATATCATTTGATCAACAGGTACATATTCCTCTCAGTCTTCGTATTGTTCTACAAAACATATCGGGCCAATTTTGGAAACTGCACTACAAAGGGCACCCATATTGTACATTCAAACTGGTAATATTCAAGGTGCAATAAACCGATACAGGTAATTAATTGTTTCTATTAATAAAAAATGCAAGGAAGAAAATGATAGCAAGAAGATGACAGCAATAGCAAATACAATTTAGAAAAAATATTTTAACAATTAAATAAACAATCTTTATTCATGAAATTCAATAACTTATAAGGGAAATTTTATCTGCTGTGGAGTCTACAACTACTCAAAGTCTTAGAGTTACTTTAACAAGACAATTGGCAGAAGTATTAGTTCGAGGAATTAGCGGTGCGGAATATAAAGCTCCAGAAGCACCAAGTGATTCGACAGGTAATATTATTAATAAAACGATTGTTATTATGATAAAATTCGAGATAAAAATAAAATATTAAGTCATTATTGTACTTTTCCCAGATTCTCCTTGGAAGCCAAAGAAATATTTAGGTCCTAATATGTTTGTGCCAAGAAATGAGTATGAAGAAACAATTCTGTTATTATTAATAAGTGAAGCTATGGCAGTTAGAGATGCTGTCCTTAGTCAATCTCCAGAATTTAAAGATGCAAGAATACATGCTTTTGAAAATGCCACTGCAGTATATGATCTCCTCACAGTAGTCGTTGTAAGATGGAGTCAAGTAGATTTGCTATATGAGGTAATTAGAATAAAGTAAAAGAAAAATAAAGACTCAACATTTATTTCGAATGAAAGTTTAATTCAATTTTATATCTTAATAGTCATTTGAAAGGGCAATGAAATTTTCTCATGAGGAAGCCCATGTATGGACTCAATGTGCATTATGTTTAATTAGTATGGGGAGATATATGCATGCATATAGGGTTTTGAAAGTAGTAGCAAGATTATCACCACAGAAGGTAATGCCTTGTCTTTTAGCTGCAAGGTTGTGCTATGAACAATTAAATATGGTAAGGATTATGTTTTCCTATAAAATAAACTACATAAAATAATATACTAAAAGCATATTCGATTAAAAATAGATAAAAGAAGGTATTGAATGGAGTCAAAAAGCACTTCAAAGAGAAACATCAAATTCTCAAGGAATGCAATCAAGATGTCATCTCTATATTGGTATTGGTCATAGTATTCTTGCTACAAACACTATAGTAAAAATGGATAAAACCTACCATACCAAAACAGCTTTAGAATGTTTTCAAAAGTATGTACAGTTAAATATAAAATAAAGAATAAGTTACGTATTATAGTATTATACATTTACTTAATAGGGCGCAACAGTGTGATCCAAATGATCATTTAGCTGAATACTATTTAGCACACGAATATGCAATTAACAGACAAATTAACGACGCAATGGTTCATGTAAAAATTGCGTTAAATCTTCGGGCAGAACACATTCCATCCTTGCATTTATTGATATTACTGCTGTCTGCACATAAGCAATATTCAGAAGCATTACATCTAATAAACAGTGTATTAGAAGAATATCCAGATAATTTAAATTTTCTTTATGTAAAAGCACATCTCGAATTACAAAGTATCGGTGGTGAACAAGCATTGTTCACCATAAGACATATGCTTTTACTTTGGAAAAATTTGTATGAAGATCAAACTAACGCTAATTGTAATGAACAGCACAGTGAGAAACGCAGTGAAACAAGAAGTGTTTTTCAACTGTATGCTTCTGAAATGTCTGATAAAGACTCTAGTATGTATTTAGTATCTTTTCTCTAATTTGTAATTTTTAAAATTAAATTGTTTTATATAAAAATTTCAAATAGCAAAATTTTAAATAGGTTCTGTACATGCACAATCATTGGCTGCTTCAAGAGTAGAACAAGCGTTATCTGAAGTTGCATCATCACTTAGCTCTTTTACCCCAAAGCCTGGACCACAAAGAGCATGGCTATTACAATTACAAGTTTGGTTACTACTTACCGAAGTATACCTAGTTTTAGATCAGCCAAATGGTGCTGTTCTTTCCTTGCAAGAAGCCACGAATATTTTTCCACTAAGTCACCATATTATGTATACAGTAAGTTATATTATCAAACAAAAAACTAAAGATGAATACTTTCTATTTTGCATAACTTCATTATCATGATACAATGTATTGAAGCTACTTTTCATTCCAGCGGGGTCTTCTTCATGAATATAAATTGGAATATATGGAAGCAAAGCAATGTTATCAGAATGCAGTTTCAATTAATCCATCACATATCAAAAGTTTACAACATTTGGTAATGTTTATTGTAATTTATAAAATAATAGCTATTACTGTGTGAAATAGTATACAATTTTTTAACGATTATTTTTATTATTAGGGATTAATTTATCACTATTTGGGAAGTCAAAGGTTAGCTGAAAAAACTTTACGGGATGCTGCAAAAATTGACCCAAATTCTCATCAAACATGGTATAAAAATATTGATTTATTTCCATTTATATTTGAAAGTGCAATGGTGTAACTTTTAAATAATTATACTTTTAGCCGAATTAAATCTTTTTATTTGTAGGTATAATTTGGGAAAAGTGTTGGAATCCTTAGGTGAAGTAGAAGCAGCAAGTGATTGTATGGCAACAGCATTGGAAGTGGAAACCACAAATCCAATATTACCAATTCTCTCGATTCCAGTTACATTTGAATGATTTAAAATTTTAATTGTTTAAATATAATTAAGGACAAATCACAGTTTATTGTGCAACATTGGCATTTGTTTGCTCCTGTGGCAATAGTACCTGCTTATCTCTAAACTGTTGCATTATTGTACAAATAAATGAATTCTTTAAAAAGTATTAGAATTATGCAAATAATTTATCAATAATCAATGTAAAAATCTCTAATAAAGAAATAGTTATAAGATACAAAATTATTATTTCTTTAGATTTTTTGTAATATTTAATTTTAAATGTTTTCTACAAATAAATTTGTTATATTTTATAGATATATTTATATTAGATAATATCAAACAAAATACTAGAAATAGGTTTATAAATATTTATTTTTATACATTATAGTTGTTACACTATTTTTATCTTATGATATTCTACTATTATATATTTATTCTATACCTTAACGCTATATTGTTAATATATAATTAAAAAAACATTAAGGTTAAAACCAAATGACTGTAGAATAATAATTATTCAATAAACATTCTAAAGGGAATGTTATTTCGTACGAATTACGTTCCGCTAAAAAATATTTTGTTAAATATAAATCAATTTACTTTTTATTATTGAAAATGCATATAATATAGGTTATAATATAATATAGGTTATTTTCTTCTGTTTGCACATATTGTGATTGAAGGCAAGGGTTTTTTAAAGCTACTAGATAATGTTAAATAAATTTATTGAACATCTTACAAGTTACAGTTGAATGTGTGCTCTTATAATTTATTACGGTAGAAATATTTTTACAGTGGATATTGATTGATTAAAATAAATTCTAGACTTTTGCTACAAATATTTATAAAGTAATATTTTTTAAATAAATATCTTTGAAGGTTTAATATTATAAAAATTTAATAATTATATATATATCATATTTTTTAATTTCAAAAGAATTTTAATAAACAAAACAAATGGAGAAAGATATACATGAAGTATTAGAGAAACGAGAATAATTACGATACAATACTGTATATATGATATAATACAAAATTCGCGTAACTTCACGATAAAATCACTAAAATTTAATTTACTCAGAAGACTTCATAAAATATTTTCACATTGGTGAATGATGAATTTTTCTAAAAACTTACTGTATACCAACAAACTATCGTACAATATTTCTATATAGACTGAATTTAAACGTTTTTTATTTAGTACAATATTGATATTACGAATATAGTATCATTATTTCCTTAATCACGCGTACAAGTATTGCTTGTAATATCATTAATTAAAAACAAAACGTAACAAGAACCTTCTAACATTTTTAATAATGCAATCCAGGAAATTTAATAATCGCATAAAGTTTTCAATTTTTTCGAATACAATAAAGAGACAGCATCCTCTGCTATATCAGATACATATTCAAATATAAAGCGATTGAAAATGAACATTATTTTGTAAATTGAACACGAAATAGTCTTCAATATTGTATTTTCTGTGAAATTAACACCAATTAGGCGCTACATCGATGTACGTAAGGTATAAAATTAACATTCTTTGCCGTGACACCCATTAAATTCCCTTCCTTACCGTTAATCGTGAACGCCGCTGTGCGCTTCTCCATCCCCCGTTCCGTCTCTTTTTAACGAGATTACGAGACTCCCTGTCCTATTCTATCGCGTGTCGCATTGCGCGTTTATTCGTGCGCAGGCTCACTGCAACTTAGACACAGAACTTTTTCGAAAACCTTGCTTAACAGCAGCTAGGCCCTTTGAGGAACTGCGTCATGAACCCATATTTTCTGTGTTCTATCAGGTCGAACATCGATTTTTCCCAGTAACGATGCCCAAAAACAGTGTTCCGTAGATACTGTTAACCCGCGGAACGTCGTACCGCGTCACGTTTAGCGCATCACGCATCTGCAGAGCTTACGGCTATGCGTAATACAATCGACCAACTATTATCATCTTACTCCTTTTTTCTTTTCATACTGGTCGAACGATACTTAGAGAGGGTTACAAGGCTCTACTGCATTGAACTTATAAAGATGTAGTAATACTGAACGTATGAAAGACGCAACTGTAATAATTATATAGGTTAGGAACTTTGACATCTTTTTTAACGTACAAGATACTTAAATACGCTTATAATAAAAGGGGGAAAAAGCGTGCTACAAAGGATAATAGTAAATAACGTAAATTAAGTCAGTGATTGTTTTTTACATAATTACAGTGGAAAATTTGTTTGTTTGCTGATAATACATTAATAGAATAAAATATGCTAAAATTCATTGCGAAAAATATTCAAGTAAACGATATTTTACCTTACTAAATCTAACCAATGAAAATATTCCTTTTTTATATTTAAATGATTTCTTTTTTACAGTAGTTAGTTTCTTTCTGCAAATATTTTATTTACTACATATTGTACTTTTACAAAATATGAGGCAATAGCTGTACAGAAATATCGTAGAACCAATTTCTGCTTTTTTTCTTTCTTGTATTAGAAGTTAATGCTTATTATTGCAAAAAAATTGAAATTATATGGTTAGTTATTGGAAATTTTTGGGAAGAGGATTACGATGAACAAAAAATTCATTTAAACAGATATCTCGTACATATTTTCATGATCAAGGTGTATTTATGCTTGTTACTGATACTGATCTTTATATCGTAGGTTCTTTTGACAAATCCAAGGTGACCTTGGTATATTTTCAAAAAATTGGCGTGGAGGAATCGTCACTTCCGTTAAGTAGCTACATACGTGAACGTTCTTTTTTGCCGCACGCATGCTCATCGCTTATTATTGATATCGCGAACATCGTGCGACGGCGTTACCGCATATCGGTCACGGCCACCAGCGAAACTGTTAATTATCTATTAGATACGAACGAAGTTTACGAATATCGATACTTAAGCGACATCGTAATTTTAAATGAATTAAGAGTTTTAGTATACAGGAAATAAGCGAACAAGTCATTTACACGTCGATGAAGAAAACCCGTGTTATATTTTATCGCACCGTGACTAGATTAGCATTTAATAGAAAGCTGCACTTGCAACCATATTACAACTTCATTATGATAATCAATATTAAATAGTAATTACACTATGCAACAGTTGAACAAATATAGCAAAAATATTGTGTTATTAAGACATTACTTCATTTTCTTCAATAAACTAGGAAAATGATATGGTGTAGAAATATTTCGAATTATGTATAAACAACATCTGTACTTACCTTTAATTAATTTGTTCTTATCATAATAGTATAAATTATATTATACATTTTGCAATACACCATATGTCTCGTCTTGTACATTTAAAGAGTTAACAACTATATATTCATTTTATAAAGTTAATAAATGATCACTTTATCCGCACCTAGTTCATAATTTAGAGAGCTAGGTTATGTAACTAAATAAAATTTCATACAATTACAATTATATTTTTAATCTTAAAAGTAGATGCAGCAAGGTAAACGATAAGATAGACAAGCTTATAATCCATAACTGATATATGATTATGTTGTATGACGTAACATGGCATAACAGTATAGTATATAATATGTAGTTAAAGTAATATATGAAAGATTCTATTTTATTATATGTTAGAATTATGCAAATTATAACTTATTTCTCTTCCGAATTAATTTAAAATCTATAATTATAAATGTTACAGATTGTTAAACGTAATTGTTTCAAGAATGTCTAACAAAGGTTTATGTATCATACTTAGACAAATATCAAAATATGTATAGTATTCAAGTATAATATTATGATTATCTTTTTAATGATCGAACAGTAGATTATCTATAAATGTGCCAGTTTAAGAAGGAATTATGTACACAAATTCTTTAATGAGTGCAGTTTTGTCTTTTAATACTAAATTTAAGTAGCAATAACTGATTACGATAAATGAATACATGTCATTTTAATTATTTGGTCTTGGAAAATCTAATTTTTATGTGAAGTACAATTGACGAATTACTCGCTATATAATGTTGGACATACCGTTGACGTAAGGAAATAAAAAAAACAAAATAACTCTGAAACGTTGTAACGTTTGAAATTACCTGGAACCTTTTAATTGCAAATGCAACAGAAACAATTGGTTTATTGGACATTTCCTTTTTTCCTCTTGCATAGAATCGTGGATTCGTCATTCACATTTTTCTCCCGCGCGTCATGCGATGATCGTATTCAACGTAATCAACCGATACATTCTCGTAAATCGAATATCTATCCTTTTAGTAAGGTGTTCAGTCTCCATTCTGCCTCATCATCTTTTTTTTTTTAAGATATTCGTAATTCTTATGATGACTCTGACTAATACAGAATTCAGTTTAAGATTGACTTACCTATCTCTATTTCAGTGGACCTAGATTATTATACAATGCATCATCAAAATAAGAAACGTAAAATTCTCAATTTTGTAATTCAGTTTATACTAGATTAAATTTTTAAAAATTATTGCACAAATTTACGTTCAATTCGTACTTATATGATAAATTATTCGAAGCAGATTGCAATGTCATTAGATATTCCTATGAAATTATTAAATAAATAAATAAATTATTCTGATATATGAAAAACGTAAAGAAATGAATTAACAACGTGTTGTAAATTGTATCATGCGAATTTAAATTGCGTTTATCCATTGATGTAATACTATGCAATCTAATTAAATTTATGCACATCGTTACATACGTACAAAACTGAATGCTAATTTTTTTACAAATCAAATTCTTTCTGTCTACGAACTTATCTATTCTTCACTTTATTTCCATATCTTTTGCTCCGACCATTGAGAATGTTAAACCCTCCTAAAATTATACAGGTCAAAATGGAACTAAAGCACTAAGAAGAGCTAAAATTTTTTGCATAATTCAACGATGATAAAAGCTCTTTCGAGAGGCATCGCGAAAACAATTTGTCTCGCGTTCTGATCTTCGAATTTTAATTTCAGTATCGTACCCGAAAAAGAATCTACGAATAACTGCAGCAAAGAATAAATTTTGGGAATTAAATATCACAATCGATAGTTGTTTCTTGGCCTGAAAACGGCATTCGCCTAATCGCACTATATTCTTATATCCAACGAACGTGTACGCGCATTATTTTTATTTAAGAAGATATCGACCGATGCTATGAAAGGACATTGAAACCGCCAGCACTTCTGGGGTTAACGCAAGGGATGGTCCACGTGAAATAGGCCATCCAAATATTTCCTTTCCATGAGAATACGTGAGAATAGCATCGATGAATTTTTTGTAAAAATTTTATTGTAATACAAAATTTCAATGAAAAGTTTTGTAAATCGCGCGTAAGGAAAAATAAAACTTCAAGGAATAGAAAAAGGTAAGGATTTATATTACTGAAAAATTATTCCAATTCGCTTTATTTACCTAAATTAGTAAAGATATGCAAATATCAATTAACATGTCTACTATAAATAAACGAATGAAAGATACAACTCTCTAGGGCATGAAGAAGTTTGATTCAGTGATAAAGTATTCGAAAACGTTTCCTATAAACTATAAGCATTAATCCATCGTGACCCAATATCATTCGCAGGACGAGACAGCGAAGCAGACTCAAGAACCTGTTTTGCACCTGACGACTGTCATGTAAGATGCGAATTTCCGGTCATTCCAGAAACTGGAGTTGAAATCGGAAGCTGACTAAAAATGACGAATGTCATCGGGATTATGATACCAAACGAACGAAATATCGTTGCAGCAATTATTCTTGTCAGTAGAATAAGCTACGATAGCTTAGGGCTTAGGGGACTAACGATATAGAAATCGTAAGAAAGCGAATGAAAAGAGAAAAAGAGAGAAAGAGAGAGAGATAGAGAGAAAGAAAAAAAGACAGAAGAGAAAAGGTAAAATGGAAGAAGAAAATAAGCATAAGATAAAGACAAAGATAGCAAAGGGGAGGAAGAGAGAAAAAAAGAGAAGGGATATGGTAAAGAAGAGAAAAGGAAAAAGAGAGAGAAAGAGAGAGACGTAAGGCCTAAACGCAGCCGAAAAACGCGCTCATTGACCATTGCATTCGAGCCATCTCTCGCAGGGAAGCCCGGCTTTGACCCGGTAGCCGGCGGCGGCACAGTCCGCGCGGCTGCCTGACGCATTGCAGGTGCGCGTCGGCCAATCACAGGCCTGGTTAGTTCGCCCGGACTTGTCCTGTAAACACGACCGCACCCACCCCGCATGTAAAGCGGATTTGCACGATTGTCTATGACGACCGTTCTCTACGTTGGACGTCGTGTCGTTCCTACTTCTTCCCATTTGTCCAATTAAAAACCAGTCGTTTTTTCAGGGTTTTCGCAGAGGAGAAGCCGCACGGAACTATCTGTCGATCGCGTAGGAAACGACGCAGCGCATCGCCGCGTGAACTCCCCTTAACCCCCGTCTAGACCGTCGACCAATCAGGAGACACCGTCATGTAGCCCGTTAGGGGCGGCGTAGTGATACCTGACCGAGACAAGCGGCAGAGAGGCTCGTACACCGAGAGAGAACGGTGGACTCCATTGCTGTTCGGAGTGCGTTTCTCGTCGGCCGTGTCGTATTGCGTGTCTGTCCGCGCTTTCGTGCACACAAGTTTTACTTTCCACGTTGGCCCAGAGAGAGATTGTGAATAGTATCCTTTGTGTTCAGTGCCTAAACCGATATTTCAAATCGTCGAGCGTACTGAGATATAAAAGAACCGAGCCAAAATGGTAAGTCGAATATGCTTTCTTTCCTGGTGCGTGTGCCTATGCGGACGTCGTTCAGCGGTCCCTCGCCCTCACCCTCCTCCTAGGCTTTCGTTTGCCGCATTGACGCGTCGAGTGCACGTGCAACCTACCGATACGCATTTATTGCAAAACTTCTTTTTTTCCATTTTTATCCGATTCAAAAGATTTCATTTCCAGATCCTATGATATTTTTCCACTTTATCCCACGTATGTTTTTTTTACCTACGCACTATTGCAATATTACATTCGTAATGGCCGGTATGCGGAGATGGACCGACTATCGATCCATTTCTACTCCAATGGCTTACATACGTTTTTCTCAGTCTCTTTCGAGATGTCATGAATTGTGAAACTTCCTCCGATAAAAATCGCAAAAAAACATCGAACGATCTAAACAGGAAACAATGATTTTTCAAATCTTCCGGCCAACCGTCAATATACAGCGTTATGATAAGGCGCTACGGTGAAAACTTTTTCAGAGTCAACGTCGTTCGTATTACGTTGTGTCATGTATCAATGTAATGTGTAACGGTACGTTGGAATATCGAATGACGCGAGAAAACCTTCTTAAAATCGTTAATTCACAACTTTTATCTACATAAAATACCTTATCTTTAGATTATCAAATCTAATGAGATAATAATTGCTATCGTATTTCTTTTTGGATACATCAAGGAATTCCAATTGACGATAAGTTACTAGCGCTAAATTCGAATAAATACATTTCTTCATTTATTCGTCAAAAAAATTCAAGTTTTATGTGAGATATTTCTAAACGTAACAATAGTAGTTGCATATACTAGATAAAATCTTGTCGCTTATAGGCTTGATACACCTCAGTGTCGTTTTCGTTTCGAAAGGAACTTGTTTTCATCATACAGTACAAACTCCAATATTTCATCCAATTTTTATCTTGTATCTAACAGGTTATTTTTTCGTAACATTTTTTAGGATTAAAGTACTTAATGAAAGAGTACAATAATCTTGTACATTTTCTTTTATCATGCGTAATCCGTTTTTTTCGCGATATTCAATGTTTTTCTTATATAGCATATAGTATTCGACACAGTCAACCGTTACACGGTATACCTCACTATTGATTTTCGCGGTCTCTTGCTGTTGCGCCAATTTCCCTGATTCCTTGTACGTTCTTGCATTCATCTTCTTCTAACGATGATTTCAATTAACTTTTCACAAAAGTTAATTTTTTTTAATACGAAAATATAAACATTAAATTCTACATTTTATTTTTATACTTAATCACGAGAACTTTACTTAACTCACAGTATAATATAAACACATTTTTTGTATATTTTCTAATTGCATAAGTTCAATTTTTATGATTTCAAATCAAATAAGATCATACGCTATGTAGTATTCAAATTTTTGAAAATATTTTCCATTTTTAGTTGCAGTTTTATGATGTTCGACGATGTTGGTCGATCGTCTTACCGCATAACCTAAAATATAGATACGACCATTCTAAAGCGTTTCTTAAGCATATAAATATTTAGTTTTTATAAATAAACCTTCAGTTGTATTAAAAATTAATTATACTCCAACGTAATATAAACTTTTTTAGTTAGATTCTTAACGAATATATATATATATATATAATATTTGCGCCTATATATATATATATTTATATACATATATACTTTCCTTTTAATAAACAACTGAAATATTAAATATCGAATTATTAGTTTATTTATGATATTTGTTTTTATATAGGTCTAGGTGCTCAATGGATATTTTTGTATAAAGTATATAGAAGAAAGCATAGTATGTAGTACATATATATATATAAATATATATTTATATATATATGCACAACTGACCTATATTATAAGGTGTTTTATTCTAGAAGTCATAGGCTGATTTAAAACAACTTTTTATATTAACAACTGCCTTCTTCCTTATCATTTATTTAATAGTTGTTTGTCTATAAATACAAAAAAGTATTTAATTCGTTATTTTATTTAGGGATCTGATTATAGCAACAGATAATTATTTCTTAGATATTCTTCGACCGCAACGAGCTTATGGTGAATATTTATTGATAGTTAAACAGCCACGATATGTATTTTATTTAGAACTAAGATTGAATGAATTGGATTTCCGATGAAATAAAACAAATACTTTAAGTTTAATTGGTTGTTAGATGTATACACTTGCGATTGAACGTATACAAATGCAAGCATAGCTTCATTTGAGAAATGAATTCTTCATATAGTATAAGTTTATCGTATGGTTTGACTTAGATTGAATCTCGGTTGTGTGTCTTGGTTAGATGTTTGATTGAATCTAATTCGAGTAAGAATCGAAGCTTCTTCGAGCGTTCAAGCTTCGCTCTACGATTTTTCAAAAATACACGTTGATTAGCAGGTGTCTTAATTTTCCAATCAACGGTATCCTAAGTATCTCGACCCCCCCCCCTCCCCTCGCGCTTTTTCTTAGTGAGGGTGGGGCAATACCTGAACGGACGTAAAGCGTTTCTAGTTTTCAGCAAGGTGGCGGCATTTCCTCCAGATCGAAACATCGGCAATGCATCAAAGAGCGTTATGCATTAAGCATGAAAGAAATGAGAAATTTTACAGAAAATAATGTTCATTGCTGTCAGGAATTTTACTCAAAAATAATCTTTCTTTGTAATCGTGTTACGAGTCTCGTCAATGAAAACTTAACGTATTATTTTTGTGAGCGTTTCTACAAAATATAGAATGTTCTTCATTTTCTCAGCATACACACTTACTCCATATGACATACTTCAGACAAAAGTATATCTTCAGTATATACTCATAACTAGCAAGTATATAAACAATAGAAAATATATATATTTATGTATTTTATAAAAGAGAAATATAATTCCCATTATTGCAACTAATAGAATGGTATTTTATGATATATCAAATTATTTGTATGATGTTTGATAAAATAAAGATCCCATGTAATTGATTTAACAAAATTTTAACTAGATTCTTTTAACAATATTATGCTAATAATGTGAACATGTAACTATAACTTTTATTTTTTATTTCAAGGCTGATCAACTCACAGAGGAGCAAATTGCAGAATTTAAGGAAGCATTTTCGCTATTTGATAAGGATGGGGATGGTACTATCACAACCAAAGAGTTGGGTACAGTTATGCGATCGCTAGGACAAAATCCTACAGAAGCTGAGCTTCAGGATATGATCAATGAAGTGGATGCAGATGGTATTTTACCCTAATCTTATTTTATAACTGACGTATAACTCATTGCATTGTTATTATTCATTATGCAATTTTTGTATATCTTAGATTGCATGTGATATCATCAGCATCATTTTCAAATCTATCAATTTAGATTATCATTCAATATATTTGCATAATGAAAGAATGTTTTTTTACACTGTTATCATTATCTCGTTGTTAAAAACATTGGAAAAAATCTGATTTCAGAAAAAATCAAAACTAAAAATACTTGGAATTGTAGGTAATGGCACAATCGATTTTCCGGAGTTCTTAACCATGATGGCTCGCAAAATGAAGGATACTGACAGTGAGGAGGAAATTAGGGAGGCCTTCAGAGTATTTGATAAGGATGGAAATGGTTTCATATCTGCAGCGGAACTCAGACATGTTATGACAAATCTTGGCGAGAAACTCACTGATGAGGAAGTTGATGAAATGATTCGGGAGGCTGACATTGATGGTGATGGCCAAGTTAATTATGAAGGTTGTGCAATTAAATTTATATTTACTGTAATTTCTAGATTAAATTACTTTTATCAATATTTCGTAAATTTTGATTAAAAGTTTTAAAGCATTTGTGTAATTTCTAAGTTTAAATTACATACTTGCAATAGTAACTCTAACTGTGTTATATTCTTTGTCTAGAATTCGTCACAATGATGACATCAAAGTGAATGCAACCTGTGTAATGGAAAAACTTGCAACTTGGAGTGGTGTTGACGTATTAAAATAAATCAAGAAACAAAGAAAAATATAATGTTAACAAAAACGAATCGACCAGAAAGTGAAAAAAATCTTGTATCTGGACGCAAAGATGTCTTTAAAACGCGAAAAGTCAACGTCCAACACGCGTTAATCATCATTAACGATAAGTAATACAGGGCAATTGTTTAATTAAAGAGTTATACCACTAAAAATCATTATCTCTAAATACACAAAATACTTAACTACACGCAACATAAACATAAAAATACATATTACACACACACATAAACGAATACAAAAAATATGCAGTACACACATAAACACATCTATACATAAAAGATGATTTATTTCCGTATAAAAAATATAATTATATATATATATAAAAATGTTAGATATATATATGTATAAAAAAACAGACGCGCATGTTTGTTGATGATAAAAGTAAATAGTGTTTCCCTACTTTCCTCTCTTTTTGGCCTTTTCCTATTTCTTCTCTGCACGTATCTTTGAAGACTTTCACATGCAAGTTTTCCTTGTAAATTCTACTTTTCAATGTATTGAAAAAAAGATTATTAATCAGTAGACAGAAGAGAGGAAAAGTATTAAAAGAAGGGAAAAATCTAAGGCTATTATTGCGCATTGTGTAGGTTCGTTTATTGATCGAGATAAGTTGGAAATTTATTCTACTTGTTTCTCGATCAAGAAGAACGTGCTTGTGTCATCGATACAGCATTTGTTGTAGCGAAAAGTTTTATCAGTAACGTACATGTTAAGCGTTTGTTTTACTTTGCCAAAGAAAATTCGGATTGGACATCGTTTTCCAGAGTTCGAAATATAATGTCTTCGACCTTTGGTTTATCGATGATTCCGTACATACTGAATTCGTTACTACGCCATAATGGATAATTTAATTCTTTTAATAGCTGAGAAATAGTATCAAAGAAAAAGTAATAGGAGGATTAAAAAAAATACGGAGTATCCTCGAGAAGTTCAGAGATGCGCGTAATGCTATCTTGGACCACGTTTATGAGATCTATGGAATCGGGTTATATCAAAGTATTGATATTTCTGGTGAAACGTCTCTACGCTTTTTCAGCTTTGTTAAGCCTTTGAAAAAACCTATATAATACATGACACGTATTATACATGTACACATATATACACAGACACACAAACGCGTACACAACAAAACATGTAAGACATATTTCACCAAGTGCGTTCTGTATCCAATTTCATTATAATCTCCCGTTTGTATCTTATCTCCACTGAGAAAGCCTTAAAACGCGTGCGCGTTACACAACGTCGACACCACTTTTGTTGAAATATAAATGAAAGCACACAGAGATAGGGATGAGGGATTAAAAAAGAAGTCAAGTCACAACAGTGATTGGTGCATTATATTTTCCTTCGCCCAGGGGTGCGTGCCAGTCTCGCAAGATAAGCAGGAGAAACTGGTGTGGTTTTGTGAGATTCGTATGATAATGTTAAGTACTAAGAGAAAAGAACGATCACCGAAAAGTGGAAACACATGCGTGTCGGTGATTCAGTCATTAATATATATGTAATATATATTATATATACATATATATGTATATATGCACACATATATACACATATATGTGTATATGTATATATATATAAAAACTAATTTACGAAGAAAAAAGGAAGAAAAGAAGAAAGATTCCTCCACAGTCCTTTATTATTTAATATTGAAGTGAACAAAATGAGAAGTACTTGTATTTCTGGTGACCTAGATCGCATTGATCATAAAAAGACAAAATAAATGTACCCTCATTTTTAGGTCACAACTACTCAATTCGTTTCCTTCATTAACCAATGGACCTCTCGTTTCAGCCATTTTTATCTTCATCGTCATTTTCAATGGCATCTAGTAATAGTTTGCCGACAAAATGTATGTGTATAATTCACTGTCAAGATTCGCGTTAACATATCTACGAAGTTTCATCGGTTCGGAAGCCTTTTATAGAGATATTAAGGCATACGAATCGCAAAAGGAGAGCTCTTAAAACTATTTTACTTCACTTGCGATCGTTCTGATAGTTGTTATCGTTATTGTGAACATAAAGTTAAAATTTAGTGATTTACGGCGAAAATGTTCTCACTTTGTAAAGATGCAAAAAAAAGAAAGGGAAAGAGGAATCACGACAAAGTCCTTTTGTAAATGGTGATATAGAAGTTACTCAAAGAACATCCCTATTTAAATGCTTAAACAAGTTATTGCTCGTTTCATCGATCATTGACGGTTAGTGTTTAAGTCTAAGTTAAAAGAATATATTCCAATATTTAATATTAATTTTATATTCGTGTCGCAAGTTATACATAGTCTAAACTATAATTTTATGAAAGTTCTTTACAGCGGGCGCTAAGAACCGATATTAAGTTTTAAAAATGAAAAGAAAAAGCAAGTCAGTATTGTATCTCAAGAATAACTAAAGCTTGAGATCTATTACAGAATCATATTCTCGTTTTCTTCAAGGATCGTTTCCCGAAACATTTATTCCTCGCAAATAAAATAGTGGAGATTCTACTTCAGTCACTCTTGTTCTCAATCTTTTGTCCGAAACTATATAAAATATTAAAATGCGATATTTATGAAACTCCGTCGTGACGTGAATAAGAAGTTATTTATTTTTGATGTTTATCTTTGAAAAATAATTCCAATAAATGTATTTATTCATTCGGCTAAAGAAAAAATATTCGCTATATGTTTTTTTCTCCTGTATTTGAGATTGTACATTCATAATTTCTATTTTATGTGAGATATTTTCCGCCATATCAAAGGCATACTTCACTTATCGTGCATGACGAAGCGACACAGTTTGTATAAAGTGTTGATATTAAGTTAATAAATTGTTCCCATACATTAAAGTACTGATTAACTCTTGTTTCTTTTAATGTGAGAATAGCAGGTTTTTTAGTTTACCAAAACAGATTTTTTTTAAGTATATCACCACTCTATTATATGTAACTCTTAATTTATTCAATTTATTTATAAACCCAAACGTAAAATGCATTATAACCGAGCAATCAAGTATTACTAATATTAACATTTTATATAATGACAAACAATTTTAAGTTAAAATAATATTGAACATCATGAACAAATTTGAAATATATATATATATATAGATCATTAATAGAAATAATACAACATAAATATTTTAGTTTACTATCAGTCATAAAATAAGTGTAATTTAGGGGCTAATGACCTAGATCTTTTAATTTGGAATTTTCAAACAATAATGCTACTATATGTTACATACCAGATAGTAACAATACGGAAATTTCAATATCTTAAAATAAATAAAATTAAAAAATTTTTTAAAATAGTTCTACAAAGTATTATATATGTACTTATACCTAATATATGCCCTTCTTTGATTCACTTAATTGAATTTTTACATTTTTAATTTCATTTCTTATTCTTAATAAAAAATTGGAAGGCATTTTTCGTTTAGATCTTAACATTCATTAGATACATAAAAATTTATGTAAAAAATATTGTATTTCATGCAAATCTATCAGGGAAGTATGTTTTATAAATACTTGATGTATCTTTATAATATACAACCTTCTGGCATAATTTTAAATTGTAGGCACACTTCATGTAGTAAATTTTTTAATATCCTTGCCTGATTCTCAGAATTCTGTAAATCCATATTTATTATAATATATATAGGAACAAAAATTTTTAATAATTTACATTGATCTGAATATATTATTTTGTGTTTTAAAATTTCTTGACTTAAAAAACTTACCTCATTTAATACAACAGTTGGTATGAAGGAAATTTGTGGTGTTAAAGCATTTGTTAATTCCCCATATTTAGCCAAAAGTTCTTTGCCCTTATCTCCAATAAAGCACTTAAAGATAGGATTATAATCTATGTTCATTTTTTTTGCACAAATTTCCATGATATTTACTGGCACTATGTTATTTTTAATCATACAAGATAGATACTCTAACTGAATGGAGGTATTCTTCAGGATATCTATGGAACATGCATGAATGATATTTGCTCCACATTCAATGGGTCCATGTTGGCACATAAATTCATACCCATTTTCTGTTTTCACAGTCTGTAAGAATTTTGTAAACTCAAATAAGCTTAGACTTTAAAAGTTCATACTTATTTTCATTTATCTCTAGATTAATCAAATATTTCCAACCAAAAAATAATTAAATATTAAGATAAGTAAGATATTTTCTAGTAATCTAATGTTAATTGTTACTAAAGTCAAAAATAAGATAATACTTTAGTTTACCAATAATTAGTCATTGTTTTAATTTTATATTGTTTCATGTTATTCTTTATGGAAACATATCTTATTATACATACGTTATAATGTAAAAAGTAACGTTAATACGTATTTAAAAAAGGGATTATACAGTATAACAGGATAAAAATATTTTACTATGTATACTATCTCTACTGTATCAATATCTGTAGAATAATAAACACATACATGAAAATCAAAATTAATATGTTACATTGTGTATGTATTGAGGAAACATACTGTTTTTAAATCATTTTTTCTCTTTATAAAGTATCCTACCGTAGCTTTCCCATATGGTATAAATTCCAACTGTACATTATTTGGAATTTTGTGGTACATTGGCAATAATTGTTTTATGAAAAAGTTGCGTGAATCTGGACATAGTGCTTCGTAATACACAGTTATGTGAACCTTTTGCTTACTCTCGTCATCTGTTAGCTGGTTGTCCTGAAGCTGTGCTATAGAAAACTTAGCAGATACCCAAGAAAATCGAGAAAGTTACATAATAGTAAATTAAAATTTTTATTTAAGCCATTGACACAAAAATAAAAATCTTATCTAATATTTTGTGTTGATATAACAGATAATTTCTACATTTAGAAAACAAAAATACAAATTTTAATAAAATTTCTGATTTTGGGCTTACTACAAATTTTTGCACATTTATATTTTTTACTTATTTAATGTAAATATGTGATATGTAATATAATAATGAGTAGAAGATAGGGATTGTCATCAAAACAAACCAAAAAAGCAGAATCCATAAGAAAAGCAATAAAGATATTATCTATCTATCTATTTAATGTAAAAAAAATGCATTTTTATACAATATTCTTATAATTGGAAAAGTTATTAAATCAGTTAATTTTAAATAAAAGTATTAAAGAAATAACGAATAATTCTAATATACAAATCAGAAACAAATATAATCTTGAAATATTAAATTATTCCATTTCGCATGACATTTGCTCGTAGATATATGGATTTTTACCTTCTATGCCATATTTCTCTTGAGTTAGATTCAACCATACTTTCGAGGATTGCCAAAGAAGTAAAACAGATATAGCAATCAATAATATCTTCCATCGAAAAATTCCTAGTCCCATTATCCGCAATTCTAAAGGTAGAAACTAGAACGATGGTACAGAATAAGTCTTACTTGTGATATAACAATTTTAAACCAGACAAGAAATCTGTGCTGTCACATCGCAATAAACATGGAAGTGAATTAACAATATTCCGTACTGCCTACATTCCAACCGAGTTTCATTTTATCATAATATAAAACGATACACTTAATATAGATAAGATAAAATTCGATCAATATATAGCTTACTAATCACATTCTTAAGATTATTTTTAATTCTTTTTATAAGTCCACTAAATAATGGATATATATACATACGTATACATGATTCTTTACTTTTACATTTATTATTAGTAAATTAATCCCCATAAATAGAAAATTAAATTTTGATTATTTATAACTTTTGAAATAATATGTTCTATTCACAAATTATATATATATATATATATATGTATTATTAACAGTGGTAAACTAGAGTCAACAAATAACCTCAAATATCAATGAATCATTGGAGAAAATTATCATGCCTGCATAATTTGAATTCAACATACGATGCTTTTAAAATCAAAACTATCACAAATATATGTTTATATATATACAATTTTTATAATCATAAAAATTGAAGAAAATCAATAATTGGAACTAATTTGTATAATAATATCAAGATATTCATAAATCTTACATATAGTATTTACAATATTTTTTTTATATTTTTTATTAAATATATTGTACATTACATTTTTTATAAAAGTGAATTTTAATGAATTAAGTAAAGTCAAAAGTTAAAATATTTTTGATTGTCATTACTAACATCTTAATACTTCTAGCTATTTTTCAATGTTTTCCAGTTCTTCCAAGAACATTTTACACTTTCCCTTAAGTATCTTAGTTGCTTCTACAAATAATACAGATGGTGGTAATGTTCCCACTGATTCAATGGTAACTATAGGAAGAAAGATATACATAATTAATATATCAACATGTGCATAATCTTTAAATGACAATTTTTTTAAATAAAGTATTTAAACTTACAAATAATATGATTTCGTACTCTACTTAACCGTACATATCCTTTGAGGTCTTCATGTTGAAACACATTTCTAGAACAGCTATCATAGCGAGGATTTTTAACCTTTGCTTCGCGTGATTCTGGATCACCTGGTTTAGTTTCAATTACTTCTATAACACCAATACTAAAGCAACTTTTCAAACGATCCGCCATTTCTCCTCTGACAGGTTTTACTAGTTGTATATCTGGTAATAGTCTATATGATGCAGTAGCTAAATAAAAAATAATTTCGAAAGTATTACAAGTAAAACTTATTGAAATAAATTCAGTTATATTAATATTATAAAATTTAATGACTTAAATGCTAATATTCAACCTACCTACAGGAGAAAATTTAGCATGGTCTTTCCCAATTCCTTTCACTGCATGCATAAAAACATGAATTTCTTGACCAGGGCGCATTTTACATATTAAAATATCATCTTCTAGAACACCTAATTGCTCTGCTCCTCGAGGATAAAGTTCTGCTTGACGACCAATGGGAACCCATTTAATATCTTTACTATACACTAAAAACAAAATTATTTTTCTTCTTACATTTGTATAACTTTCTTTTAACTATATTAAATATTTATGTACCATTGCTATTTCTATACATATCATTTGTTCTTCGAGAATCTTTAGGTGCTTGGGGATTCCAAGTACATGATACTTTAAGTTCATATCTTAGAGTATCTTGATCACTAACTTCATCTTCATTTTTAATAGTGGATGAAGGATACTCAAATAATCTTGGATCAGCTTGAAGTGGTACTAAACCTAATCTTTAATATGAACATACATATATATAAATTTATTGTTTTTGAATGAAAAAATAATATATATTTTAAATATAAATAACTACCTGTGAGCTAAAACTTCATCTTGAATTAAACTTGTGTTATTTACAATGTAAACCTTTTCTATAGCCATGGTTGGTACTTCACTTAAAAGGACTCTACGAAATGCGTTAGCAAATCCAACAGGATAACCTATTAAATCAAACTCTAACTCTCGTTCATCTTCAGACTCTCTTATCACTTGTATTTTGAATTCCTAAAAATATAAATCAGTATAGTATGTAATAATTTTATAAATATTAGAAATAATATATTTTTTATTCAGGATAAAAAATACTTTTTTAAAATTATGCAAGTTCCAATCTTGTTGTGGTTGATAATTAGTATATTCAGAAGCCTAAAAGATAAAATTATTATTAATAATTGCTAATTTGAATTATCACAAATATATATATACATATGTATATTGTAGAGCCTCACATTAGGTATACCATGTTCTTCAAGAATAACACGAGATTTTCGACTTCCTTCCATTATTTAATATTTGTTATGACATTGAGGTTACATTTACAGATAGCAGGAAAACGTGGAATAACTCTGGTGTTCCTCAAATTATAAAATATAAAACTGGTGTTCCTTAATACATTATGTTTCGCTTAAATTTAGGAAATATTTTTAGTATAATTTATGAATTAATAAAACGAATCACACAACTACTTCAGAAATATTAATATAAATAATATTTTACTTAGTTATCAGTACAAAAATTGATGGTATAATGGATTTTCAACGAAATTTTTCTTTATTTTTTTATTTTAATCGTAAGTATTTTATATTTAAATTAAAAGTTTATAGATATTATAGGTAATTCTTTTTTGATCACAGCCTATAAAATGCAAAAAAAATTTCATATACTTAAATTATTAAAGTAAATTTTTTATAGAATATACAAAGAAATGACTTAACAATAAATAGCAATAATGATAATAAATTGCATACTATTACATACATAAATATCTAATAATTCTAATATGTATTATTAGCATAGATATAATTTATTTATAGATAAGACATAATTTATTGCGTTAATAAATACAAAAATTAATAAAATCATCTAATTTATTTGGCAGTTTTAATTGTAACAAATAAAGTATTTCAGCGAACAGTTTTTAACAGTTTATTTTCATGTTGGGTTATAAACATTGTATTTTTAAATGATCATTTTTAGCAATTTCAAGAGGTCCTGAATTGAAATTTGCTTTTCAGAAAACGACACATTCAAATGTCAATTGACAATACGTTTGTGACCTACTTCCCAACACTATGATGTTTTCCCATTTTAATGCACATTATATATTTCTTTAATCCAAAGCAGCAGCACCAGAAATGATTTCAATTAGTTCTCTAGTAATTACAGCTTGCCGAGTACGATTGAATGTCAGAGTTAATTTATCTATCATCTCCCCTGCATTTTTGCTAGCATTATCCATAGCAGTCATACGACTTGACTGTTCACTACAGGCACCTTCTTTCATAGAATAAAATAATAGAGAAGCTAGAGAAAATTCCAAATAGCTCTGAATTACACTTTCATCCAGAGAGTCATAAACTGACAATTTTGGTGCATTAACTACTGCATTTTTGTCAAAAAGGGGTAACTGATCAACAGCATATGATACCACAGACTTGAATCGATTGTACACAATGCGACCAGAACCAAAACTGTACCTGTAGACATCAATATATTGATTCACATATGTTAACATGAAACAATTTTATACATTTGAAAATAATATATAATTATTAGCATACCCGCTATTCATAATTTCAATTGCTACTTTGGCAGCATCATTAAATGTGGGTGGTTTACGACCAACTTCAGATGCAACAAACAATATATTGTTAGCAAACAAACGTGATAAAATCGCTCGAGATTTTTCACCAACACATATAATCTTCGTATTTTCACGTTCTTTGGGATCAGCTAAAAGGACATCCCTAATGTTACGAGAAACTCCAGTGTGTACAGCACCACACAATCCTCGATCACTTGTTATTGCTACTACAAGCTTTTTCTCGTCATCTGGTGGTGCTTGAATTTCAGCTTGTTCATAAAATGCTTTTGTACCAATCCCAAGAGGTCTAGCTTGTTTTAAGTCTCTTTCCGCTCTATTATATTTAGCAGCTGACACCATCTTCATTGACTGAGTAATTTTTTGAATATTCTTTACAGATTTCAATCTTATAGAAATTGCTTTAAGAGTTGCCATACCACGTTTTTGTTGCTGCTGCTGCTGTTGAGCAGCAAGCCGCACAATTGTTGTCATATGATTAGAAAACATTTTGAAGTTGAATGTCCCTGTGAAGTTAAATAAAACATATACATATATATATATATATGTGTGTATATATATATATACACATTTTTATTGTAATCTCATAATATGTACATCAATGTATTTATTAACATAGGTTTTACAAACAAATCTTACAATATCAAATAGTCAAAATAATTAAACTTAATATCTGTTTTTCTCCAAATGAAAGAATTATTTATTAGAATTATGAAAATTACTTTCTTACATTACCTTCATATAATATACTTTAATGTAGATCTCGAATTTTATTTTCAGATTACTTAATACTTTATTGATAAAATATAACAGAAGTAAAATAAATTATAATACTTAAAACAAATATTGCAATTTTTAATGTAGGCTACTAATCATACATATACAAAATTTTTTAATATATTAGTAAAATTAATACTAATTTATAATTTCAACTTAGACTAATTAAATATAATCAAAACTAGTGATATACTACATAGAAATTGAAAAACATAATATTTTAAAGGAACACAAAGAACATTACTGCAAAACTCTTGTGTGAAAATACATTAAACTTACCAACACCGTTATTTAAGTTTTGGAAAATAAAACAATAAATTACATAAGACATACATTAATAAGATCATAAACTTAATAAACAAGGTAGTAAAATACATTCGTAGTTTATATTCTTAATACATATTAATATTGCAATGTTAACATTATATCTATTACCAATATTAATTCATTTATTGTAATTTGTCATACTGAAAGATAATAATTACTATATTGTTCCATAGAAAACATTCATCTGTCTGACTGATTTAAAGATAGACTTCATAATGAAAATGAAATTTAACATAGATAAAAGTTCAAAAAAAAGAGAGAATGTAGAAAGCGAATAATATATGACACAATATAATGATATCACAGTAATAGCAATAATATATCAATAAATGTGAATTATTTTATACTTAACTACAATATTATCTGATTTATATAATCACAATGGATACCATTTGTGTTCAGAATTAATTTATTTCAATGCATATATTTGTTGCTTTTTATTTATTTTTTTTATAAATCAATTTATTAAAATAACTACTTTAATTTTTATCTATTATAATAATTGAAACTCACCGCACGACTTAGAATAATGCGATAAGAAATGAGAAAACTGTGTCAAACAGGATGGGAATTATCATAGAGCATGAAGTCCCTCACGAATCACGAACGAGTATAATATCCATATATGCATGTAACTTCTATTACGGACGATCAATAGGCCCCCTGTGTGTAAAGATGTCTTACGATCTAGGGTATTTATGGATTCAGTGGTTATTTCAGGATTTCATTTGCATAGGTTAGCACCAATGGTATCCTAACTTCTTTGCTCATTAGACTGCCAAAATTTAAAGTAACTGCTAGGACATAAAGTCGACTATTTACAATTTTAACTAACTTAATCGACTAATTGTACGAGATATAGATATATGATATGTGAAAATTCCCTTTTTTCAGGACCCTCTTACTAGATCTAGGTATCTTCCTTTCCAGGATCCAGTAATCAATTATACATTTGATCGATAATTCTCGCCATTATTCCTAACAACGTAATGTACACGTATAAATATAAATGCATTATGCATGGATTTAGTTAACATTAACATAATGTACATGACTAATTATGTTACTATTAGTTTTTATGTAAGTTTTTGTATTGGGTAGTTCAGGTATTTGTTGTAGCAAACAATACAAAAAAGGTTAATAATTTATTTGAAATTTTATTTTACTCTTATTACATAATGAATTGTGTATTTAATATAGAAATTGTGACTTTTATCTCTTTTTTAATATCAATTCATTATTAAAATTGCTTATAAGAAAACAAAATGAAATGTTTCAAAATATGTGATTTAAGATACGTAAAATACACATGATATAATGTACATGAACACATGTATATATACATATTTACATATTAGCAATATTTTCACAGTTTTAATTTTTATTAACAGTATATGAGCTTGTTCCAAAAGTTTCTTTTGTTTTATAAGGAAATAATTGATGCACAACATTTTTTGTTTTATATTATTTTATTGAATTTTATAATAATAGAACAAAATAATATAAAACAAAAAATGTTGTGCATTTATTATTTTCTTATAAAACAAAAGAAACTTTTGGGACAGCCTAATATATTATTATATTACCAATAGTGTTCACAGATATGCCAGATTTCAATGAATTTTATTATTAAATTAGTCAGCTTTTTTACTTCCCCGTGTTTTCCAAGCTACTATAAGATTCCAGGAAAAGAACAAAGAAAAAGAATGAACTTGAGATGCTAAAAGTATAAATGCATACCATAATAATCCATATGGTAGATCCTAGAAATTAATTTTTATAGATTTAACAAATATTTTATATGAAAATTTCCAATAATAGATAATATATGACTTATTAATACCTGCCAAAAGTGAATTTCATTTGTTTTACCAACAGTTAAATATTTCCAAACATCCTTGAAATAATATACAACTCCATAAAGTAATGGACCATATCCTAATAGGATGATACCTATCATGTACTGTTTTAATGTTTTAATTCTGTTTCTTTTAATAGCAGACAATGCAAGAAAACTTAACATCAAACTTGTGCACCAGATATATTCCCACCATAAAGGCTATAAGAAAAAGGAGATATTATAATTTAATAGTTTAATGTTTTATATTAAAGATCATATACCTGAGGTACTTGTAATTCTTCAATCTCCAAAATAAATATATCCAAATGGTCTAAAATATCGGCTGATAGCTTGGCAAGCATAACGAAGAAAAGAAGATAATGAAAAAATATGCAATATTTCAGTCTTGATTTATTTGTTGCGCTAAAAGGAATGCACGTTTAATTCTAATAATAAATAAATAACAGTCGAGGAATGATTTATTTTTAATTATTATTTTATTCAATTTTAGAAATATTATACGTGTAGAATATCAAAATATTTTTAATGAAAGAAAGAGAAAAGTAGCTGATATACATGTCGTTTTTGTTATGTCTTAATTACCTGATTTGATAATGACCAGCAATCTTTTGTCTATGATTAAAATCACTTCCATCTGTACCCAGAGCCTGGGACAGTGTTACTTTTGAAGCCATATTTCGAAATTATGGTGACTAAGATATAAGAAATCAGTTTCTGTTTTAACAACAGAAATTTACGTATAAACAATTTTTGAGCTGCAATTCAAGATAAACCATTCGGCACTTCATTACCAACTATTTTACTATTTTTAAACTT